AGTGCATCGTCCAAACTGGATTTGGCGTTCACGCATGTGCTTTCATAATGGGACAGCAAACTCTGCGAACGGACGTCACGAGATCTTCAAATTGAAGCAAAACCTGCGGCCTAGCTTTCAAACCTCTACTTTTTCATATGTTTTGGATAGCCAGCAATAAGTATGCAGAAGATCTCGAGTCGATGTACATTGATTGCACTTCAAATATTCCATTGCGATTATATTGGTTGCACTAAGCAAAAGTCGCCATACCTCATCGTGGACGTGCTGACATCAGTATGAATGAAATTTAAAAAAATGGTTAAACACAGCAAATACTTAGAATGCATTGGCATGTCACTCATCAGTTAGAATCTAGCATCTGTCATATGATGAATCCCCTTGAGTTTTCTATCGGTCATGATAATTTCGCCGGAGTCAACAATTCTGCTGAATTTTCTGCTCCTCGGTAATTAGCTAGTAACTACCAAGCGATGCAACGACCCCCTTACAAGAAAGACGAGTGGGGATATCAGTTGAATGAGCCAGGAAACGTTGAGACCTTAAAGCGAAATACTATCTCACAACGGATGTTCGACCCGAGGAGATACACCAGCACAAACGCGTTTCTAGCAGTACCAGGCTATTATCGAAGCTAAACAATGATTTAAGAAAACATTTTCCGTTTCCATTGCCCAAGGAAACAAGCACAGGCGAAGCTGCACCTTGGAAAATTGTGTTATTTGTCACCGGAAATTGTGAAGGTACAAAATTCCCTTTCGAACTGCGGAAATGTTATTCTCCCGCTGAAAAACGTGAGAAATCATTGTTCGAAAAACACGCTAAACATGTCGATTTAGGGATTTTCATTGTGCAAAATAGGGGCGGAAATGTGAGACCGCATCCAGAAAAAGATGTATCATCGGAGACAATACTGGGTACGTACGTGTACGTGTACTGGTACCTCGTACCTGGTACAGTATGGTCATCAAATGCAATATAGTCCCTCCGAAACCGTATTTCAGAGCAACAAAGTGGAGTCTGAAGCGCTCACAAAAAGACAAACACGAAAAAGCACATCATGCGGAAATACAACGACAGTGATTGCAATATCTGCCCTTCCATTGCCTCGGAACTGGACTTGAGCAGCCTACTCATTGAAGACTCTATTCCAACGACAATTGGTAACGATGAAAGCAATGGCAGCTTCTCAACCGTTGATACCAACAATCTTTTCCTTCTCGCTGGTGAATCCAGCTTCAGCAGTTTAAACGTTGAGGTATCGGTACCAAGGAGCATTAAACAAAAGTCTCGGGCAGGGACCACACGGAAACCCGAGAGTAAGATCTCCTCATCCTCGTCGACCCACAGCAGACGAAGCCGCAAAAGCAACCACAATTCGTCCCCTGACAAGTACGATCAGGTTGGGACGACTCGCAGGGAAACAAGGAGAGAAGCTTCCTTTGAAGAAGGCACTGACAAACGGCAGCAATTGCGCCGTTCCTGCGAAAATTTGAGCTTGATATGGTAATGAGCGTTCATCATTAACAAATATCAACTGCCAAGAAAGGTTGAGCTCCAAATAAAGTCTAGTCAGGTGAAGGACGAGGATCTTGCTCTTTCTTGTCCCTGCCTTGAATATCGCGGCAGCAATGCGATCAATGCCAACCGAAGAATTCAGCCAACAACATTAAAGAAGGAGACCGTGTTCCTTCTTGTCATACACAATTTTTTCTGAAGTGATCAATTCTTGAGATCCTAGGCAACCAACGCGGCTTCAGTTTTAGATAGACAGACTGGAATAGATAACGGAGTCACAAAACTGCACTATTCAACCTGATATACCACAGTAATTAGTCTATACCTCGTCTTTGCCATTTCCGACTTCCCCATCGTCAATGTCATCATCTTGTGACGTATCGTCACTTTCGCTATCATCATCAAAAGTACCCGATCTTTCATTTGTGGCATCGCTCTGTCGAAATACCTTGAGTCCTTTGGCAAAAAGTAATCCAGAGAGTGTCAGCATCTCAATGCGATTACGGGTAACCTGGATGGAAGGGTGGAAAGAGACGCACTGGCCGATTCCGACTAGTTCACAATTAGGAACGAATGAATGAACAAGCCAGTTAAAGTCAGAGATACACATATGGGAGGGTACTATCTCTATAGAAAGTTAGACACTTACCCAACCCAGCCCATGCCGCGAGTGCCCAATTCGTCTGCCACTTGATATCCGATGGAAATGTCTCTGTTTCAGATGCCAACTTTAGACTAAACAGTAAACTTGAGACTAGTAAGAGTCGTGATACCGCTGATACATGGAGACTTCCAGTAAGAGAAGATAGTTCTAGCGCATCTTGATACTGAAGGGTTGAAATAGAAATGGTGTTAGAGCCATCATGGTGTTGATTCGATAGCCAGCAGTTGATCCGGCGATTTCTTACTCTATACTGAAAAATGGCTTGCATGACATTTGAAAGGATGGCAAAGAATATCACGAAAACACAGTTCCTGTAGAAGAGACTCTTCTTTTTGTCATGCACCTTCAATCCACGCCAATTGTCAGAGAGTCCATACTGCAATTCTTTGCGCCATCTCAGATCGGTGCAGTCCTTGAGCCAGCCTCCCAGAGCTACCACCAAACCACCTATCCGCACTGCAATCATTATGATACTTGTGACTACTGCCGGCAAGGCCGATGGCCAAAAGGAAGCCTCACCTGGGAATGAAAGCAGACCCAAGCCGCAAAATCCAACCAGACCTAGCTGACATCTCTTTTGGAAGCCCAAAAATTCATTTCCTTTTTCGTATTGATTAGACCTGGAGAGTACGTAAAAGACAAAAGCTGCAAGGCCAAATCCACCGGATCCTCCTAACTTGAAAGCAAGTTGCTTGGACAGCGTTCGGTCAGGCATCAGAAGGAGCAGTGCCGAAATCCACCCGAATGACCAAGCTGAAGCTCGATATAAGTCCACATATTCGTCTTCCTTCAAAGCTTGTTCTACAGCTGATGCACTAGTCAGAAGCTGCGTTGATGAATGCTGATGTGGGTTATTGATTTTGACTGACGACGATGATGATGCTGATGTCCTTGGGCAATGATGAACGAGTTGGCATGCTGGAATCAGCAAACTATGCACCTGATGGGAAGCGAGAAGCAATACGGTGATATAAAGCAATCTTCCTATTGATTGACTTTTTTTCATGGTAATGAAATAATATCGTGATGTACCGGTAGATATATGATCGCTGCGCAATATAAACACTACTGTATGCGTATGGGGTTTATTTATTTCGGCAGTTTTTTTACATCCCTGTTTTGATGTCAGGCATGTCGTAGATGTCGCATGATGAGTCAGAGAAACAAGCAGATGTCCAGCTTGTTCTCTATCATGCACGGCCAATAAGTAATGTATATATTGGCGAGGAACGGGTTCGACACGCGAACACGTTCACGATCCGTTTGGATAAACATGCAATTATCCACATCACAATTAAAAGGAATCCGACAACGATTCACAACAACAACGTAATACGATAGTGACTGTTACCATCTTCACCTTACACACGTATTCAATTCAGTTTATCAGTACCCAAATAAGCTACAACTATGGTGCAAATCGATCCAGCAGCGATGACTGCTTTCTGGGAGCAAGAGGTCCAGATGCGCATCGTGCAGGATATACGGGACCAACTGGAACTTGATGGCTTGACAACATTCGAGAGTTTTGCCGACTACACCAAGGATGACTTATCGGCCATGAGGAAGCGAATCAGCTACATTCAAAACATCCCTCATTTTGGTCAAGATTCGTTCAAACGCCTTGTGATTGCATTTGAAGCATCTCGCAACTACAAGCTTGTTGGTCGCGAAATCACTGCCGCAATGATGCATTATGAGAACACATTGAAACATTTTGCCGAGGACTGGAAGACCATTGTTTCCCTTGAAGGAAGGCCTGAACCGCCAGTTCCCACAATTAGCCGAGCCCTTCCACCAATGAAATGGGTCTCTGCGTTTGTGATTGCAATGCAGACTACGAAGTCAGCAAGATTCGGAATCACCCTGTATTATGTGATTCGCCCGGAGGAAGTGCCAGTCGACCCTGCACCTCCATTGGAAGAGAACAAAGCTTTTTCTGAAGTCTATGGCTCTCTTTGGGATGAGCGACAACTTAGAGCAAGTCACTCGCACCCATCCTTCAAAACGGACGATAAGACTCTTTTTCAGAAGCTTGATGAAGCTGTGAGATCCACGAACTATGTCTCCTGTATCGAGCCTTTTCGTGCGAAGGGACAAGGCCGAAAAGCCTACTTTGCCCTTATCAAAACCTACCTAGGTGACGACAAGTGGCTATCAGAGATCACTAAGTATGATAACATGATGCGCAACGCAAAGTGGAAAGGAGCTGGTAACCTGACAGTCGAGGCATACATTGCTGTGCACCGCAATGCATACCAACACCTCGTTTCTGCGTCAGAACATGTTGCATACCAGTTGCCTAACCAACAGACGCGTGTCAAACAACTACTTGATGGAATTCTTTCCAGTGATGCTCGATTGAATGCGGCAATTGCAATGGTCCAAGCTAGCAACGTAATGATTGCTGATTTTGAATTGGCTTCGGCCCATATTCAGCCTCATTGCCCGGTTGCCAAGCGAAACCTAGGAGGCAAGCGCCAGAGTGCAGAAATTTCTGGTCTTGACGTTGACACTGGTGATGTTGACATTGCATCTGTGGGAGTTGGAGGAGGTAAAGGTCAGCGTACCGGCGTCCATCTTCGCTTCCACACCCTACCAGAGTACCAGAAACTTGGAAACGACGAGAGAAAGGAACTTGCGGAGTGGCGACTGACTCCAGCTGGCAAAGCAGCCCAAGCCGCAGGCATCCTGCTAAGAGATAGCAAGAAGCAGAGTGGAAAGGGATCCCCCAAGAAAGGGAAGATAAGCTATGCCAAAGTGTCGGCTAACGTGAAAGTCAATGTCAAAGACTGAGCGGCACTGTGACATTTTGCATTCTTGAGTGGATTGATCGACGGAAGTCCCCCCATTTTTCTTTTTATACTGGACGAGGAGTAGAATGCCCCATATCGAACCTACCAGAAGAGATGGTACTACCATTTGTTACATGTCAGTGGCTGAATAACACCTGCTCTACCCCGTCGTTTGTTGATATCCAAAATGGATTAAGCAATGCAAGTCGTCCGCCTTCAAGGTAATGCGAACAACTTGAGAGGAGTGTTTTGATGTCAGGCATGTCGTAGATGTCGCATGATGAGTCAGAGACACAAGCAGATGTCCAGCTTGTTCTCTGTCATGCACGGCCAATAAGTAATGTATATATTGGCGAGGAACGGGTTCGACACGCGAACACGTTCACGATCCGTTTGGATAAACATGCAATTATCCACATCACAATTAAAAGGAATCCGACAACGATTCACAACAACAACGTAATACGATAGTGACTGTTACCATCTTCACCTTACACACGTATTCAATTCAGTTTATCAGACCCAAATAAGCTACAACTATGGTGCAAATCGATCCAGCAGCGATGACTGCTTTCTGGGAGCAAGAAGTCCAGATGCGCATCGTGCAGGATATACGGGACCAACTGGAACTTGATGGCTTGACAACATTCGAGAGTTTTGCCGACTACACCAAGGATGACTTATCGGAGCATCTCGCAACTACAAGCTTGTTGGTCGCGAAATCACTGCCGCAATGATGCATTATGAGAACACATTGAAACATTTTGCCGAGGACTGGAAGACCATTGTTTCCCTTCAAGGAAGGCCTGAACCGCCAGTTCCCACAATTAGCCGAGCCCTTCCACCAATGAAATGGGTCTCTGCGTTTGTGATTGCAATGCAGACTACGAAGTCAGCAAGATTCGGAATCACCCTGTATTATGTGATTCGCCCGGAGGAAGTGCCAGTCGACCCTGCACCTCCATTGGAAGAGAACAAAGCTTTTTCTGAAGTCTATGGCTCTCTTTGGGATGAGCGACAACTTAGAGCAAGTCACTCGCACCCATCCTTCAAAACGGACGATAAGACTCTTTTTCAGAAGCTTGATGAAGCTGTGAGATCCACGAACTATGTCTCCTGTATCGAGCCTTTTCGTGCGAAGGGACAAGGCCGAAAAGCCTACTTTGCCCTTATCAAAACCTACCTAGGTGACGACAAGTGGCTATCAGAGATCACTAAGTATGATAACATGATGCGCAACGCAAAGTGGAAAGGAGCTGGTAACCTGACAGTCGAGGCATACATTGCTGTGCACCGCAATGCATACCAACACCTCGTTTCTGCGTCAGAACATGTTGCATACCAGTTGCCTAACCAACAGACGCGTGTCAAACAACTACTTGATGGAATTCTTTCCAGTGATGCTCGATTGAATGCGGCAATTGCAATGGTCCAAGCTAGCAACGTAATGATTGCTGATTTTGAATTGGCTTCGGCCCATATTCAGCCTCATTGCCCGGTTGCCAAGCGAAACCTAGGAGGCAAGCGCCAGAGTGCAGAAATTTCTGCTCTTGAGGTTGACACTGGTGATGTTGACATTGCATCTGTGGGAGTTGGAGGAGGTAAAGGCCAGCGTACCGGCCTCCATCTTCGCTTCCACACCCTACCAGAGTACCAGAAACTTGGAAACGACGAGAGAAAGGAACTTGCGGAGTGGCGACTGACTCCAGCTGGCAAAGCAGCCCAAGCCGCAGGCATCCTGCTAAGAGATAGCAAGAAGCAGAGTGGAAAGGGATCCCCCAAGAAAGGGAAGATAAGCTATGCCAAAGTGTCGGCTAACGTGAAAGTCAATGTCAAAGACTGAGCGGCACTGTGACATTTTGCATTCTTGAGTGGATTGATCGACGGAAGTCCCCCCATTTTTCTTTTTATACTGGACGAGGAGTAGAATGCCCCATATCGAACCTACCAGAAGAGATGGTACTACCATTTGTTACATGTCAGTGGCTGAATAACACCTGCTCTACCCCGTCGTTTGTTGATATCCAAAATGGATTAAGCAATGCAAGTCGTCCGCCTTCAAGGTAATGCGAACAACTTGAGAGGAGTGTTTTGATGTCAGGCATGTCGTAGATGTCGCATGATGAGTCAGAGAAACAAGCAGATGTCCAGCTTGTTCTCTATCATGCACGGCCAATAAGTAATGTATATATTGGCGAGGAACGGGTTCGACACGCGAACATGTTCACGATCCGTTTGGATAAACATGCAATTATCCACATCACAATTAAAAGGAATCCGACAACGATTCGCAACAACAACGTAATACGATAGTGACTGTTACCATCTTCACCTTACACACGTATTCAATTCAGTTTATCAGACCCAAATAAGCTACAACTATGGTGCAAATCGATCCAGCAGCGATGACTGCTTTCTGGGAGCAAGAAGTCCAGATGCGCATCGTGCAGGATATACGGGACCAACTGGAACTTGATGGCTTGACAACATTCGAGAGTTTTGCCGACTACACCAAGGATGACTTATCGGAGCATCTCGCAACTACAAGCTTGTTGGTCGCGAAATCACTGCCGCAATGATGCATTATGAGAACACATTGAAACATTTTGCCGAGGACTGGAAGACCATTGTTTCCCTTCAAGGAAGGCCTGAACCGCCAGTTCCCACAATTAGCCGAGCCCTTCCACCAATGAAATGGGTCTCTGCGTTTGTGATTGCAATGCAGACTACGAAGTCAGCAAGATTCGGAATCACCCTGTATTATGTGATTCGCCCGGAGGAAGTGCCAGTCGACCCTGCACCTCCATTGGAAGAGAACAAAGCTTTTTCTGAAGTCTATGGCTCTCTTTGGGATGAGCGACAACTTAGAGCAAGTCACTCGCACCCATCCTTCAAAACGGACGATAAGACTCTTTTTCAG